TTTTTTCTTTTATTAGGCTCGGATAAATATTCAATAGTAAATTTCCATCCGCCTCTTCCTCTTCTACTAATACTTCATTAATTACACCTCTATCTATAGAATCATCTTTTTTATTAGTTTTCATATTGATCAGGTATTATGGTAGGAATATTGCAAAAGATACTGGTTTTTCAGTGTTGATAGATAAAAGTTACTTTAGCCAATGATACTGTTCAAATATAAATGCAGAGAAAATTTCTTATTAAATAATCATGATAATAATAATTACTATTTAGAATCAACAAAGTAATTACATTTAAATTAAAAAATTATTATTATTTGTTTAATTAAAAAAATATATCGATACCATTATCAATATTAATCAAAGTAAAGAACTATCCTCTTCTAATATACTAGGTTTAGGTGATTGGTTATTTGATAATTGCATCGACATATATATTTGATCTTCTGATATAACTTTCTTTCTAATGCAGGAAGATAAATGAGGTTTTTTTTTCTATTATGGTCAAATCTGGGGATGATGCTATAATTGGAATATCAATATTAGTATTTAATGTGGATCCGTTACGCTGTTTTCTGGAAAAATCTTTATTTTCGTTTGGTCATTCTTCTATTCTCAAATAGTTTATGATATTTTGACAGACGATTCGCTCGGTTTTCCTTCTGCTGCTTGAACAGTTACTGGTTTATCTAGAGGTTGGAATCGACTACTAATGCTACTAATACTAATACTAATACTATGCTAATATTATTATTGTCTAACCAATTACGATTTTTGTATTTTATCATTCAAAATGGAAAATTTCTATGCGGAAGAGTATCAATACCATCAATATGATGATGACGACAGCAGTAGTGTGTTGTTGATGATAATTTTACATGTGAACGAATAGGCACTTCTAATACAAGGTCCAATATTTCATTGGCTTCAAGTTCCAATGATTTAAGCGGTGGTTTCAGAAGACCTTTAAAAAAAACGAATCGTAACACATGGTTTTGTGTGGAAGTATTTTGAAATGAATTCGTAATTTACAAATTAAAAAAAAAAAAAACGAAATATTATTATTATTTGTTATAAAAAAAAATCTAGTCGACTAAGGATTTTTTGGACGATTCCAACCTCTAGATTTATCTAAATATTGATCGCTTGAATTTCTTCTTCTACTACTTGAGCAGTTTCCGGATTCAAAGTTTTCTTCTGATCGATTAGTAATCGTTTCAACTAAATTCGAACCATTTGGTCTTTCAGCTTGTTCAGTAGATTTATATAGATTTTGATTATTTGTACCCATTGAAATTCTATATTAGGGATATTTTCTGTAATCAAAGAAGATTCACGATTTTCTATTATCTTAAGTGTTTAAAGTTCATTGATTTCTTTGGCCTTCTAAGCAGTTCTAACGATTTATGGGTTCTAGATGATTTAGTTTATTTATTAATGGATGCAGCAAGAATTTGTTTTATTGTCTTTTGAAATTATTTTCATCATTTTGTTCAATATTTGAATCATTAAAAATTGATCCACAAACCTTCATGTAATTAATTGTAGCTCTTCGACCAATCTAAACAATTTTATAATTATTAAAAGAAGAATAAGGACTTATTTATTATCTACGAGAATATATACTTATATTACGTAGTGGTTGTATCCGCCGAATGATATTCACCGATTATCCGGTTAATCGGGTGTTGAAAATTTTCACCGGATAATTGGAATAATCTGTGGTATATACAGAAATCAGCATGACGATAAAATGATTGAGTCATGTGATTTTATACTCCCGTGACATCAAAGAGTATCATTGGAAGTGACGCAGCATTTGATGGCGCGCACTATAATATGGTTAGATAATTCGATTAGAGAGCTTTCTAGGAATCGGAAAACAGCTATTTTAACTTTCCTCGAAATAGACAAAGAAACATATGGTAATTGTTTAATGTGTTTCTAATAGAAAGATTCGTCTTCAATTGAAAAGATCCACCTGTATGTTAGGTATATTCGATGACTTATCACATTACGCACTGTATTAAGATTATTTAATATTAGCTATTAATTATTTTGATATTACTCTTTCAACACAGAAGCAAACCTCTGTAATCGGATGATAACTTGGAGTTGGTGAATAAATATGTGGCGAAGATTGTATTTTTTATATTTAATTATTTATACATTTACTGCGTACTGCTGATCTTATTATTATATTCTTGGATGATTTAACTTGAACAAATATCAAACAAAAAAATTGTATTTTTTATATTTAACTGTTTTACATAACATTGTTTTTTATTAATGCTATCTTATATTTTTAGATGATACATCAAGCTTCAACTAAAGAGTTAGCTGATGAATATGAAGCGAAGCTACATTCTTATTAATAGTTTTACACGTTCATGCTATACATGAAGTCGAAATGGTTGAAATTATGTCATACCACATGAAAACCAATGATCTAACTTTAATGAAACATGGCTTATTAGAATAGTATTGTAAAGGTAATATAATAGTGTTTTAATGTTCATAACGATATACAGTAAACAAAAATATCTCACTAACTAGTGATTCAAATTTTATGAATTAGACACCTCATCGAGAGAATTCGAATGGTAGTTGTTTTTATCCAAAACATCATATATCGACTGAGTTATGGCAATTTCAGTTAATTTGATACGATATGTATACTTTATTAATAGCAATAAAAAATTATATATAATTCATATGGAATTCCCGTATCTATAGATCAAATACACGTAATTTCAGTTAATTTGATACGTTTTTTCTCATGATACGGGAAATTGCGAATTTCCGTATTAGTATATTAATATTAATATTTTGCATTTTACAAAAACATACCTTTCATATTTCAGTATGTAACAAATTCCGTACTGGTCCCATACCAATTCCGCACTTCACACTAGTTTGAAAAAGGACAATTTTTCAAAACCGTATATTAATGTTAATTTCATATATGTTAATTTATTTTATTTTTCATAGTGATAATACACGCACTGTACAACATCAATATCAAGCTTTTAATTTGACATGTCCCATGTACAACAATGATATAGATGCTCCTAAGTGGCACTTTTATATTGTGGTGAGTGGAAGATCAGACACTGGTAAGACTAATATGCTTCTAAACTTCTTTCTCGGGAATAAGTATCATTATCTAAAGAAACTTGGTGAGTGTTTTATACAATGTAATCAATCATCTTATATTTGTGGAACATTTCATTAATGAACCTAAATATAGATTAGTTCGAAATTTCTAGTAGAAAAAAATATCTGATCGCTCAAAACCTTATTATGAAGATGTCACATTCACTGCGTTTACGCTTGATAGAATTTTTACTATAGTTGGTTAAGATGAGTAAATAATAATGAAATGGATATATTAACTTGCAATACTTGAAAATAAAAATTCTCAAATTGCATACAATCACGTTGCTAATCATATTTCAACCAGATTCTTATTTATATTTTCTATATAAACTTGAACAATCTCTATCTGTCAAAATGCTTGGTAAACCTTTTATTTTAACAAGCCAATCATAATATTCAGAGATTAAATGTTTATTGAGTGAGATGGTATAATTTTTTCGGAAGAGGATAATGCAGTGCATTAAATTCTAGATTCATCGGTTCTTCAGGTAACATTGCATTTGGTAATTTTTTCGAGCTAGAATAATTAGAAGGCCGAGATTCACTTATTTTTTGCTTCTAATATTTTTTTTCAAATCATATTAGCGACTTAGCTGGAACATTCACATTCACATGTCACAATTTCAAAGAACTGCATAAACTAGATGATTGGTCATGTATGCGTTCCAATTGGAATGCCAATCACTTTTGTCAAGGAAAAATTGGAATAATTCACTCATATAGATATGCCAATACGTCTTGTAAATCTAAAATAACAGACGAAAAACTCTAAAGTAGGTTTACCACTAATCCTATGCAATATTCGCAATTTCAAAATCAAGATATGTGTATTGTGGAGGGTGAAGATATAGTTACAATTAATAAGAATACACAAGATGTGAAAGCAATATTTGATCATGGAATGGTAAATAATATCAATTTGGATATTCTCAATATCTGTAGCAATTAATCAGTTTTTTTTTCAAATGATTATTACTGAAGAAATACAGGAAAAACAAATTTAAAAGCAAACTTATTCAGAATCTATAGTTACAATGTTCACATCTGATAATTGTACAGGAATCTTGGCAGGTTGTAGATGGTAATATTAATGAACCTTGACCTTATCCCTGACAAGAATGTTCAGATGTCAACATTGATGCTTTCATATACCCAATACATTCCATTGTTAGTTTCTCACCATAGCTTTATCTTGTTATCCTTTTTTTTTTTGAGAACTACAAAATAAGCGAGAGCATTCAACATACATAAGTTCAAAAATTGTATCAGGATATTTTACTATATACAAACATAATTGTCTGGTCGTCTCACAATACATCCTCCTCCTTTCTATTAACACCAGTGATAATTTTCTTCTCTAAATTACTAATGAAAAAAGAGTTTCCGGTGGGAAGATTTTTTAATATTGCTAATACCATGATGGTAGATTGGTATGTCCCCCCTCATTTAATGACTTTGCAAATTCGGAATCGAATTCTGGGTTACTTCAAACATATTTCAGCACACTAAAAATCTCATTTACTATGTGTGATATCTTCTTTTTGCTCTTTACATGTACCATCATGCTTCAGTTTATTATCCCAATTTGTATTGTTCTCTGGGTAATGAAATTTGATACGAATTCTTTGCACATTTTTTGAACCATTGGCATGGATTTGGGTGTCATATTACAAACCAGTTTCTAACAAAAGTATACATACATAGTATCATATAGCATTAATAGTGGATGCAAAAAAAAAAAAATCAGAATCTCATAAGATTATGTGTACTGTGGCTCCCTGAAGTAATATGAAATATGATCCTGAAATTAATAAGAAATTAATTTACTATGAGCCCTTTTTTAAGCCTTTGGGTAATTTCTTCGCAATATCTGAATTATCACTAATAACTGGACAGCTAAGGGATCTTTCCAAGATAATTCTTTAACAGATATCTTATCAATGCTAGAATACAAATGTTGATAGAAGTGAGTTGTATCTCTATTAAGTTTACATTTCAGCTTTTCTATATCATCATTAATTTGATTTAAGTTAAGAGGCCTCTCTCTATTCATTTTAACAACACCAAGATCATGAAGACTGAAAACTCTCTCAAAAGCAACTTCGAACTAAAAATAAAATATAATGTATTAGTTTTCGGCTATATCAAAAAAGTATCATTAAAAAATACGTATATTATCAGTACATACAGTTTGTAAAGTCATCAGTTTTGTGTGCCATGAAACTTCTGTGGTACTAAATAACCACACTTTAGTGACTCCGCCCATATAGTGTAATATCCATGCAGGCAATAAATTTTCCTTGCCAATTGGTTAATATAGCTTAAACTGGATTTTATAAAAAAAAATTCAGTTACTTGCAGATCACGAATATTTCAAGAAAATTTTCGCATGACTAATATTAATATGACTATGACAATAATTGAAAGCTATTTCCAGCAGTCATAGTTATTTGCAGTAGCCATATCTATTTATAACTATTTATGGTAATGGTAGCTACTGGACCAAACACTTACAACAAGTGTCTTTAAATTCAATATTAATATATAAATCAAACTCCACAGTCTATTCCTTTCCTGAATTATTGGAACTAAATAAATTAAGAAAATAAATTATTAAATTTCTTAGGTAATTGACAATTTGGTTGTAATAGTGACTCGCACAAATGGGAATAATCATATAAATAGTTAGTTAATAAAAGAAGTCCATAAAATACTTGGCAAATGGTTTTTCTTGGAAAGTGGAACAAACAAGAAGGTGATCTTGATGTTTATCCACTATAGGTCAAAAAAAAGAAAAAGTTTTCCTTAAAAGTATACTTTAAACAAATTGACATATTTGAAAGAGCATATTTATCAACATCATCAATGAAGCTTGTAACATATATAAATTGGTTGACAAAGGTAAAAACTGGATCAGAACCATTTTCCCAAAGTTAAAAAAGTAACCGTTTATTTGTGTTGAGTAGAATCAGTTATTGCAGAAAAATACAGTGATAGCTAACTAAACAATTATAAATAATCCTTGTTACTGTTTTTTTGGTTGTAATATATATCGTCAATATATAATTATCAAATTGTCAAAATAAGTACCACTGCTCCCAACAATTATGATTGTTACATTGACACATACATTATCTTTTATAATAGGATTAATGGGATTTTCTTCTTAAATTTGCTAAACAAAGTTAGTATCGCAACCTCTATTTTGGGTTTTTTAATTAAAATATTTCTAGATATTCTAAAAATATGTTTGTCAATAATTCTGTTGGGTTGTTTATAACCTTGTAATATATTTTAATCATCTTTATTAGGACTGGATTGATGTTGTGACCAAAATTTAGGATAGGACTAAGGCTTGGATTTAATGTAGGTTCTCTCTTGAAACTTGTTTAAGGAATTCAAAAGAATTTGGAATCACAGCATTGGTTATGACTGGTGATGTTGTTAGGTAACAATTTAAAATTTCTAATGAAGAAAGTTTATCACACAGAGAAAGATTTTTAAGTAGTAAAATAACACATTCTATACTTTTAAATGAAATTGTTGTGAACCAATATTTAATAGGTGATTTAATTGGCTAAGAAATTTTGTGTTTCAAGTAACAAAAATGGTGGTAAAATAAATCCATATTGATTTTTCTATATGATGGTGCATTTAATCAAACAAATATTGCTTTACTGTGTGTAAAAATTTTAATCGCATATTTGGTATAGATTTGTTTTTTATTTCTATTTTGCCAAAAATTAATAAATTTAATATTCGGAGAAATAGCAAAATTTACTTTTTATTTTGTACATCAATTTCCTTATATATAACAGCATGGTGGACATTCTTATAATTGGTAATGATTTTCGTCGATCAGATTACACAAAAAAGAAAATTTGATTGGCCGAATAGATTACACAAAAATTTAGAGAAGAGGCTTCGTGACGTATAAGTTTATTCAAGTAAGATATTGGAAGCAAATAATGCAAAACCATTAATTTAACAATAATCAAGAACAAACTACCTTGTTCCTATTATTTAT